GGAACAGGAAGGGAGATAGTGCCTTACTAGTAATTTTGAGAAAGTAAAACAGTGTGAATCAGACATCAACAGGAATCACTCCATCTGGAAAAATCACAGATAACTTTAGAGCAGTAGTTCTCAAAGTGCAGTTCCCATATCAACAGTGTCAGTATCACCTGGAAATTTATTGGAAATGCAAATAATTGAGTTTCACCCTAATGCAACTGAATCAGAAACTTTAAGAGTGGGCCAAGCCATCAGAGTGATTACAGACCATTCAGATGATCCTAAGAACAAGTACTAATGCCCCAAGGCAAAGTTTCTCAAGCTTTAGAGTACTTTTTATTTTTAATTGAGACGGAGTTTCTCTCTGTTGCCCAGGCTAGAGTGCAATGGTGTCATCTCTGCTCACTGCAACCTCCGCCTCCTGGGTTCAAGAGATTCTCCTGCCTCAGCCTCCTAAGGAGCTGGGACTACAGGAGCGCACCACCACGCCCAGCTAATTTTTGTATTTGAAGTAGAGACTGGGTTTTACGACGTTGGTTAGGCTGGTATCAAACTCCTGACCTTGTGATCCGCCTGACTCAGCCTCCCAAAATGCTGGGATTACAGGCATGAGCCACCACGCCCCACCTGGAATGTTTTTAGAGTCATCTAAAGTGCTTGTTAGTACAAAGATTACAGACTGCTGGCCACCCACACCACCAGATTGTTAATTCAGTAGGTTGGGAGCAGGAAATTTACATTTCTAACAAGTTCTTAGGAAGTACTGAAGCTGCTGATCTGGGAACCACATTTTGAGAACCACCGTCCCAAGACATCTTCATGTAATCCAACAACTTCTCTCACTTGCTATGTACTGTTCTTGGAAGAATCAAGAAAATGGTGACTGAAATAATCTGCTCTGCTTTGTAGTTCAGAGGGAAAATTTCACATGAGAAAAGCTGAGTTGAAAAGGGGACAGGATAATATTTTAAAAAGGAGAAACATTTGTGTAAGGATTAAGTGGCGAATGATCAAATTCGTTAGGGCAAAAGCCATAATTGCTGGAGAAAATGTACAGCAAATGTTATAGGGAAGTAGGAATTTGAACAAATCTATTTATGGTACAGCTAAAAATATTTTCTCACCCCATCAAATTAGGTTAATCATGTGGGATTCTGCTGCGGAAAATTTAAAGTCTAAGATACATGGAGAATGAATACTTTTTCCATGTCAGTTTCCCGGCTTCTTTCTAAAGGAGTCAGATTCATACTTTATTTTTATTTCTTAGGCATAAGAAATCAGTGGCTTGACTTGAACTTACATTTACGTTTTCAGTCCACATACCACTTTCTGAAATTGGAAAAGACATTATTCAGAGTACAGAGACCTAAATTTCAGAATCAGAATGTGACTGCCAATTCATATTTGAAGCTCAAGTTTTAAAAGACCAGTGAATTTAGCTATTCTGAAACTTCACCAAATGGTAATTATGAAATCCACTAGCCACACATCCATTCATCCATCCAACAATGAAAAAGAAACTTGACTTTGTAAGGTCTTTTAGGCTGACTGATGGCACCATGGATGCTATTGGCGACCCCCGTGACCTGCACGTACACCTATGGAGAGCCTTCTGGAATTAGAAAACCTGAAGTAACTGGAAGACCAGGAAAAGCGGAAGAACCATCAACTCCTGCGGCAGCTAACTAACTTGAGACATTCTTCTATTGTTTCTTATTCCGGCCTTGGCTCACAAGGCCATTGGACTTTATAACCGACTTTGGTCAACCTCCTGACTCCAGACCCTACCCTACCAACTTGCAAAAACATAAAAAAAAAAACCCTAAACTGTAACTTCTGTAACTTTCCCCTGCTCACCCCAAACCTATAAAACCAACTCCTATCCCACTACCCTACACTGACCCCCTTTTCGGACTCAGCCCAAACACACCTGGGTGAATAAACAGCCATGCTGCTCACACAAAGCCTGTTTGGTGATCTCTTCATTCAGAGCACGTGTTTTAACAGACTTAAGGAAATGTATAATCCATTTGAAGATAGAAATTAAACAATGAATTCATTGCAGTCGTGACATATTTTATTTGAAAGAAAAACAAACCAAACGTGTATAGGAGCCGTAACAAGAGCACCTAACTTTGTCTAAAGCCAAAGATTGGGGGTCAGTGAAAAATTCTTTGAGGAAATGATGTTTAAGCCAATGCCTGAGACATGAGTAAGCAGAAGTCTGGAGAAGAGTCATGAAAAGTATAACCAAGCAAGAAGGTTATTTTACCCTCATTGTGTCTGAACATGAGACAAAAAGAGACAAAGCCAGGAGGAAGGTGAGCAATATCAAGGATGATGCTCGAGAGCTTGGCAAGGGCAACACTAAAGGATTGTAAGCAGGACCCTGACATGATGAGATTTGAATACTGAAGGGCTCGCTGTGGCTTCTACATGCAGAACACAATGGAGAAGAGAGTGAGGCTGCATTCAGAATAGAGGTAAAATGTAATATTCCCAGCCTTCCTCAGTTCCTAAAGAAAAATAACTTTGTAAGTTTTATTCTTTCATGATATCATATATTGCATTATGGTTTTGGCTTTTAGAATATATATTACTTGATTCTGTACTTAAGAAAGATATGCTTCATTTTAAGCAAACTCTCATTTTATAGAAAAGATAAATGTTAGAGAAATGAATAGCTCAATCTTTGTGTTAGGAGCTGAACTGTGTCCTCTGCAAAATTCATACAAGTCCTAACCCCTAATACCTCAGGATGTGACTGAATTTGGAGACAGGGTCTTTCCAGGGACAATTAAGTTAAAATGAGGCCATCAGGGTAGGCCCTAATGCAATATGACTTGGTGCTCTTAAAAGAAGAGATTGAGACACAGCCATGCACAGAGGGAAGACCACGTGAGGACAGAGGGTTCACACAGCCATTTACAAGCTAAGAAGAAAGCTGTCACAAGAAGCCAACTATAAAGATAGCTTGATCTCTGACTTCTAGATTCCAGAGTTGTGAGAAAATAAGTTTATGTTGTATGAGCCACTGGTCAGTGACATTTTTCTATGACGGACTTAGGAAACTAATATACTTTGTACCAACACACCCTTTGTTTAAGGAAAAGAAAAATCACTGTAGGTTTTCTTGGAAATATATTCTCTTAATGAATTCAAAATTCATTTATATCCCAGCAGGAGTCTAAATGAAGGAGAAACTAATTTATTGGGGAGTTTTTAGAGGGCAGGGTGTGGGGGAAGAACCAAAGGAACGTGCGTGATATGTAAAGTGAAACATGGTAGTTGGTTCAGTGAATTCCCACATTGCTCAGGCCCCCAATAGCCAGTTGTACACTATATAAGAATAACTACATTGGCTAAATTTAGAGATCCTAGTAGTGTCATAAGCTCTGTCTTGACCATGAAAATCAACTGTTGTCAATGTCCTGAAAGCCTGAATGCCTAATGCACACATTCAAGTCAGGGAGATTTTCTTCTATTTCTATTCAAATCATCAAGCATATATCTACTGGTTTACTAAGTGTACAGAATTATGGAGAATAAGAAGCATTTTAATACACAGTCCACAACCATAACTCCAAGGAAATAAAGCTAGAGATCAGTTAACATATACAAAATGACTTGTTATCTTCCAAAGTGAGTTAACAGAAGCTAATTTGGAATGGTTTTCTTTTTCTTTCTTTCTTTCTTTTTC